AATAGAGCTGGAAGGGACCTTGGAGGTCCAGTTCCCTGCTCAAGCAGGAGAAACTTTACCATTTCAGATAAGTGACTGTCTAATCCAGGAGTGTCAAACTCAAGGTCTGGGGGCCGGACCTGGTCCATGGTGTACTTAGATCTGGCCCACAGGGCTGCCCTAGAAACAGTGAAAGAATGGCCCATGGTGCATCTGCCAGCAAAAACAGAGCTCAGGAGGTCTGTGCGCGGCCCTCCCAGGCTCTGCTTTCAACTGTGACAGCCTCCTGCAGCCCTCTGCAACAGAAAACAGAGTTCGGGAAGGCCGCATGCACACACACCCCCCGAGCTCTGTTTTCACTGGCAAAGAACTGCAGGAAGCTGTCGGAGTCAAAATCGGAGCCTGGGAAGGCCATGTGTGGCCCCCACAAAAACTCCATTTTTGCTGGCAGAAGGCTGCAAGAGGCCGTCGTGGCCGAAAATGGACCTCGGGAGTCCGTTGTTATAGCGGCGGTGTCAGTAGTGGGAGACAACCCTTTTAAAACGATTAGAACATTTATTGTAACATTAACTGATTACCCGCGGCTGCCACAAGCTAGCAAGTTCACACACAGTGACGGGCAACAGCTGACTCGGCTGACAGCTCTTTTTATATTGCAGCTGTCAGCCCAGCCAGCCAATGAACAGTGGCTACAACTCCCTCCAGAACTGTGGACTAGAACGAGGACCACCTCGGTACGTAACAACCCTTTCCCCCAGTTACAAGCATGCATACTCTCGCAAGTAGGCAGGGCGTTGCCTGACTCAGCCCGACCTACATGGTTCAGTTGGAATAGCCAATGGCAAGGGGTCAGGTGTGCAACCAGCTGTCTCCTGCGGCAACGACTCAGGGCATGTGGATGCAGGAAGTTCTTGTTGACTTGGAGAAACATCGAAAGGTAAGTCTTGCTCGAGTTGCGGCTCAGCAGTCGTCATCTGGGGTTCAGGATCATCGGTTTTGTTGTTTGTTGGTCGGTTGCCATCTTGTCGGTCGCCATTGGGCCAGTGGTCCGTAGATGCATTCCACTGACCTCGCAATTGATCAATGTGCCACCACCATATCTGGCCATCAGATAGTCTAACTCTATAGGATTTTGGGCCAGTGACAGCAATTATCTCCCAGGGTACTCATAAAGGATCTCCTGCAAAATTTCTCGCATAAATTGGGTCATATAGTTTAAAAATCCTGAACTTGCTGGAGGAATCTAAGGGACAGGAAGGGGAGAAATTTGGATGCATCCTGTCAAGGCTTGTCCGCAACTGCTGACCCATCAGGAGCTCCACCGGTTGGTGGTTAGTGGCTGAGCTTGGTGTCGCGTGTTGGATTAAAAGGTACTTGGCTAATTTTTCATGCCAATCCTCCCCTCCCATCCTTCCTAGGGTGTCTTTGGCAGACCTTATTGTTCTCTCAGCCTGGCCATTCAATGTTAGGTCGGGTGGCAGGGCGCAACCAAAACATGTCGGATACCCCTTTGCTAAGAATATTTCAAATGTGTTGGATGTAAACTGGGGCCCATTATCAGACACCAACACATCGGGTAACCCATGAGTCACGAATAACCTGGTTAATGCCTTAAGTACAGCTTCTGATGTTACCGAGTGCATAAGCATGAGCTCCACCCATTTAGTATATGAATCTACAAGTATTAGAAACATTTGGCCCTTAAAGGGGCCTGCTAAGTCGATATGCACTCTTGACCAGGGGGCTCTAGCTGATTCCCATTCAAAAGGTGTGGCCATGGGCAGTGCAGGCCTTGACAACTGACAAGCCTGGCAGGCCCCACCTGCTTCAGTAATGTCCATGTCCAACCCAGGCCACCATACATAGCTCCTACCTATAGCTTTCATCCTGGCCAACCTGGGATGCCCTTCATGTAGATTTTCCAAAACCCGGGGCCATAATTTACTGGGCACTACTACCCTACACCCCCATAGTAGACAGCCCATTTGGGTGGACAACTCATATTGTTTAGCTTTGTATGGAGTGAATGCAGACGCCAATGTCTCTTTTGGCCACCACCCCCCTCACCCAGTCCAATACTTTAGAGATTACCTCATCCTTAGAGGAGAACTGAGCTATGTCACATGCTGTAATGAGCAATTGGTTGTCGTCGGTTAACAGGACTGTCGATGTAGTAGCAGGGTCTTCGACTCGTATTGGCAGGGGGCAGCGGCTCAAAATGTTGGCATTACTAATCAATTTGCAGGCACGATAAGTTAGTGTGTAGGAATATGCTGATAAGAACAAGGACCATCGGGTCATGCGAGGCGAAAGGATGGTAGGAGTTTGCTGGTTACCTGCCAAAAGTTCTAATAATGGTTTATGATCGGTTATTATTTCAAAACAACGTCCAAACAAAAACTCGTGGAATTTTTTTAATGGCAGCGACCACAGCAACTGTCCAACTGGCTGTAATTTCTCTCTGTGCTCGGCAAAGTTCTTGAGAAATACGCGATAGGTGCCTCATGTCCATTTGGAATTTTGTGGCTAAGGACTGCCCCAATGCCAGCTGGAGAAGTGTCACACACCACAATAATTGGAAACTCACAGACAAACTGAACCAAAACACTGTCAGAGGATAGTAATGCCTTGACAGCTTTGAAAGAGGTAACTTCCTTTTGGCCCCAAACCCAAGGCATCTTAGTGTCTAGCAGTCTATGAAGGGGTTCAGCCAGTGATGCTTTGTCTAGCAGGAAGGAACTATAGAAATTTAGCAGACCTAAGAAAGCTTGCAGCTCAGCCTTGCATGTAGGGGTTGGTGCCTCTTTGACTGCTTTAATCTTTGATTCAATAGGGTGGAGTCCGATAGCGTCAATGCGGTACCCTAAGAAACCCACCTGAGGGACAGCAAATATGCATTTGTTTTTCTTAAGTTTTAAACCGGCTTTTCGGAAACAGGACATGGCTGCCCTACAAACCGCTGCTTTACATTGCGGTTTTGGTGGTGATGCTGTCTATCCCTCATTTTTCTAGCTTACCGAGAAGTAAATTGGAGGAGGATATAATTCATTGAAGATACACTAACTACATTTGTTTTCTTCTGTTCAATCATGTCCAATTCTTAGAGACTGCCTGAACAAATCTCTAACCCTGAAGATTTTTCAGAAGTGGATTGCCATTGCTTCCTTTCTAGAGCTGAGACAAAGTAACTGGCCCAAAGTCATCCATCTATGTATGGGTCATAGCTGGCTCTATAGACAAAAAAGGAAATGCAAATCCTAGGTGTTTGTCTGAGCTTCCAGGTTAGGTTGAAGTCACAATTCCTATTGTGACTTAATGGCTTTCATCCTGTTTTGGCTCTTGGGTGAGGGTATTTGCTTATGAATAGAGCTATCTAAATCCTTGTCTTCTTTCAATAAGCTTTTTATCTCTTAAGTGCTGACATCTGCTGTGGGCTATTAAGAAAAGGTGGGGGTTGCTTTCTGCCTCTTAAAAACATGTTTCTCCATTTCTCCCTTTGGGAAATATATTTCTCCCTTTTCTCCCTTTTTTAATATTCCTCAAAATATTTCATTCTTCTAGTAGTGGCTTCCCATACATGCAAGTATGCTAAGTATGGTTTGTTGAACAATAGTTTGCAGAATATGACACAGGGTAGGGTAAAATCATACATCAAAATCAAAATTTCTGCTTCCATGGTCCCATGGAAGTCTGACAATAGCCAATAGAATACATGTTCTTGCACAGGAACAGGAAGCTCAAATGCAAAGCTTAAAGAATTCCATTTTGTCAGCTGCACCACAACCATAAACGCTGGTGATTCTGTTCATCATTAAAGCTTCTTTCCAATCAGCCTCCATGTTTCCAGTGTCTTTCTCCTAGCTTGGATCTGAACCAGATGGATATTTCTTCCCACACGTTCAACATGCTTTTTAAGAGCTGTGGTGGCACAGTGGTTAGAATGCAATATTGCAGGCTAACTCTGCATTCCATTCTTCTGAGGTTGGTAAAATGAGGACCCAGATTGTTGGGGGCAATATACAGACTCTGTCAATCACCTAGACAGTGCTGTAAAACACTGTGAAGTAGCAAACAAGTATAAATACTACTGCTATTGCTTTCCTGCTGTTGCTTTCAGCCTATAGCTACAAGAGTGTAATGTAAGGGATCAGTTGATCCTCTTGATTCAGAACAAGAGCTACAACTAGAATTCCCTTATATTTGTTTCTGCCCACTGTTTTAGCAATAAGTTTTTCAAATGTTTTCACCTCTTCTCCAAAGTTCTAGCCACCCTTAGTATTGTACCATCTGCAAATTTGGTGTGCATCCCCTCAATTACTCCATCTATATAATTTAAAAACATTGAACAGCATTAACAGAACAATTGTTACAATCATAAGTACATTTCTTTACGAGTTCAGGGTCTTCCTGGCCTTGAAGCTCCAATGCAGGTGTCAGATGTGGCCAGTAATCCCAGCAACTGCTCATAATTTAATTTTATTCATAATTTTATCACTTGTGCTGTGTGTTTTGAAGATGGTTCACTGCTGTTTTATATTTTGATATACATTTTATATGCTATTTTTGAGTTATGCATTAATGCTATGTTCTGTTATGCCATATAAAGTAATAGCTATGGTCAGAAAGGCCTTTGCACAATTCCCTTTCCTAGATTGGAGGGCCTTTCACACAATCACTTATACACTAGTCACCTTACAGCTTAACTACTGCAATGTGCTTTACATGGGACTGCTCTTAAAGAGCATACGGAAACTTCAAATAGTCCGCAGTATGGTAGCACAAGCAGTAATGGACATGTATGCCCGTGAAAGACTTGTTTTGTACGCTGCATTGACTGCTGCAGCGCCAAATCTGTACTGCTGGCATTAGCAAAAACACGTTATCACCGTGTTTACCGCCGAAGCGCCCTAGAGCAACGCCAACCCCTTTTTGTACGTCACGGGGACCCGGGAGTTTGTACGTTAAAGATATCACGCTTCTACATTTTCTTTTCTCTCTACTGTGGCGATAACGGCCGACGACAATATTCCGTTTCCGGCCTCAACGCCGGAAACGCTGGTCTCCGTTGGAAACGCGGCCTGGGTGAGCTAACCGACCAGGCCGGAGGTGACAGCCGGGATTGGCCCTCGCGCTGGAAGAAGGAAAGGGTCGCAACTCGCGAGGGAGGAAAGAAAGGTAGCGCTTCTCCTTCTCCGTCCGGAGCTGCTGCGAAGGGACGTGAGGGCCGCGGCACGGTTAACCATGGGTGCCGGTTCGCTAGGCCTCTGCTACTGATGCCTCTCGTTCTCTGTCATCCCGGACTTCCCAGCTACACATACGCTTTCTATAACGTATTGTTCATGTGGGCTTCCGTCCGGCTGTGCTCCTCCTCGCTTTAGGATACTGCCGCACCGTGTGCCAGATGTGTATGGCGGCAGGGATAGTCCCACTGCAAAAATCACCGTATCTCCGGATCCGAGAGAGTGGTGTTTTCATGGCCAATCTCTTGATTACGGAGGTCCAACTGTTCTCAGATTACTTGGTCCTAAAAATAACAATTTCTCTGAATTGTGTAAAGGTTTCCCTCTTTCTGCGCCCGCCCTCCCTCGTTATGGGCCAACAATTATCTTTTTTTTTTCTTTACAACATAAATGCATGTTGTAAGGAAAAAAGATAATTGGCCCATAATGATGGGGGGAGGGGCAGCAAGAGAAGTCTTTACACAATTGACCGAGAAATTGTTATTTTTAGGACTAACTAAATAATCTGAAAATAGTTCTCCAAAAATTCTGTCACAGGGATTGGTACCTAAGAGGCAATTCTATTTTGTATTGTTTAGGACTATAAACTCAGTAGAGCCTTACGTTTGGTTTTATGTCACTGAACTTCTTAAAAAAATTATCTAGGCAGCTTACTAGAGCAGTATACAATAAACTACCTAGCATATCTCATTGCTAATATGCAGCATCACTATAATATCAGTCATTACAACATTGTTAATAGCAACTACTTATAACCTAAATTTTAGGTCTATTTTAGATCCAAAGATAGAGAGTATCACCTACTTCAGAGTAGCAGAAAACTGCCTTCAGTTTATAATGATCACAGGAAATTCTACTAGGGCCCAGCAGGTTCCATCTGTGGTGATGTATCTTTTCTTCACTCTAAGTTCCACCTGTTGCAGATGATGAATCTTAATTATCCAATAACAAACTCTACCAAACTTTTTGCTAAGATTTACATCTTTAATCTTTACAAATATTGTGATTAGATAGATTTTTTTTTATGAATTTCCCCCACTTCTTCCCCCAAATCCTTCGTAATCTCTTGTTTCTTTTAGTTGCAGGCAAAGATGGGTCGTAGGAAGTCAAAGCGGAAGCCTCCACCCAAGAAGAAAATGACAGGAACACTTGAGACCCAATTCACATGTCCTTTTTGTAATCACGAGAAATCCTGTGATGTTAAAATGTAAGCTGTTCATATAAGTGATGGGAGAACACAGCTTCTCTGCTGGTAGATATCCAGAAGAAAAGATTTTGGAAACAAAAACCTAGCAAGATGTATTTTTCTAAGTAGGGCAGTTGTGAAATTGAGAAAGTTTGGAGTGTTAATAGTAATCTAATTAGCATTAATATATAGTATTTTTATTTGGTATGCTTATATCTAACACATGAGACCTATTTGCATTGAATTCTATAATCAGAATTCCAGTGGACTGATTTAGGTTAATAATGATACTATTTAATTACAGTTATGATTCTGTGTTCCAGGGAAAGAGCTCGGAATACTGGAGTGATATCCTGTACTGTATGTCTGGAAGAATTTCAGACCCCTATCACTTGTATCCTTTGCTCATTTATTTATTTATTTCAAGTATCAAATAAATGCTCTGTTCTGTCCTAGCTGTTTTTTACACTTAAGAAAAATATGCTTGGATTTTACCTATAATAAAGCTTCAATTTAATCAAACATTCAAGATGAGGATTGTACATTAAATACAAATTAAATTGCTTGCATCAAGACATGTAATTGGTGTAAATGGTAAGTTACAATAAACTCTTGTTTGAGCCATTATAGCCTCAAATTAATGGATATTAATTCATTAAGTAATGGAATGGATGAACAAAAAAGTTCTCTGGGATATCTAAATACATTGAGGCACATTAAACTGAGGGTTTATTATATTTGGTAACATCTAATTTTGTTTTGCTGTGTAAATTTGAGCTTGATTTTGTGGTTCCAGTTTTTATTTTATGACAAGTGCTTTGATTCTTGAAATTTGCATGTTCTATCATACACAGTATTAAGAAACTAAATGAACCTTGTTCAAGATCCCATTTAAGCACAACTGTATACTTTCCTTTACTCCAAGGTGTCTGTACAGTCATAATAGATTTGCATATTGGCTTTGCATATTCATTCTGAATTCAGATGTAGAAGATACATTAATATGTTATTATCCTTGACTTTTGACCTTAAAGATCTTTCAGAACCAGTGGATGTTTACAGTGATTGGATAGATGCTTGTGAGGCAGCCAATCAATAACAACTTAAAAGGAACTTGTGGAAGTTAATGTTTCTTTATTCAAGGGTGGGGGTATTTGTTTCACAATGCATTGGAGATACAGCTGGAATGACTATGAAATGGTGGTTTGTGCTCTTTTCTTCTATTCATTAACTTATCTTTTTATATGAATATTGTGGAGTATAAAGACTAATGACTACCAAAAAAGACCTGCAAGTGTGGGAAAGATCAGCTTTTATTCAGGTTGATGCTTGGGATTTTTTTCTCTCACGATTGAAATATGAGGTTCAGTGCATCAGATGCTGCTGTTCCATTTTTGTTAATTTATTTTGGGCTTATAGAGAAGGGCTTCCACACAAGCTTCTTTTCCATTCTGTGATGGTTCTTGGAATTGTATTCCATGTTAAATTGTGAAGTATAGTCAGCAAGAATATATGGAATATAAGAAAAAATAGCCCTATCCTGGTCCCATGATACAAGCTTTGTATTTATCTGTTGGAACAATAATCATGAAGTCAACCTTTTTCTTAATAACATGTCTCCAGTTAGAATGGCAGCAAGTTGCCTCTGTTTCAAAAAAAGTTGTGCGCAGGGCTCTTCTGTGGTGCTGGGCATGGGATTTTGAGAACTGTGTTATGTAATAAAGTATAATTCAGAGAAACAAACCTGTATGATTCACTGAGAGATGATGCCATTGTCTTAAAAACATTTTGATGCAATATACGTAGGGCAATTTTACCATTATAATTCCTTTAGTAGGCACATTTATTTGACCATTTTACTTTTACCATAATACTATGTATGGAATGAGTATATATTCTGCTCAAAACACTTCATTCAATTGCTTTTTTCCCCTAATAAATGAATCCTAGTAACAAACATTTTTATGACTTTATAATGAATATGTCCATACGTATAGGAGGGTAGATAGTCGCTTGAGTGTGAATCTTGTATAGAGTGCACTGAGAAAAGTATTCAGACCCCCTTTTGTCAATTTTGTTACGCTGCAGGCCTAATTCTACAGTTGTTGAAATTCATTTTTTTCTCATTAATCTACACTCAGTACCCCATAATGACAAAATGAAAACAAAATTTTAAAAATGTCTGTAAATTTATTAAAAAGAAAAACTGAAATATCACATTGGCATAAGTATTCAGATCCTTCACTCAGGACTTTGTTGAAGCACTTTTGGCAGCAACTACAGCCTTGAGTCTTTTTGGGTATGATATGAAAGCTTTGCACACCTGGATTGGGGGGTTTTCTGCCATTCTTCCTTGCAAATCCTCTCCAGCTTAGTCATGTTGGATGGCGATCATTGGTGGACAACTGTTTTCAGGTCCCTCCAGAGATGTTCAATACGGTTCAAGTCAGGTCTCTGGCTGGGCCACTCTAGGATATTCACAGAGTTGACCCTAAGCCACTCCTATGTAGTCCTGGCTGCATGCTTAGGATTGTCATGTTGGAAAGTGAACCTTCGGCCCCGTCTGAGGTCCTGACCACTGTGGAACAGGTTTTTATTGAGGATATAATATACTTTGCTCCATTCAGTTTTCCCTCAACCCTGACCAGTCTCCCAGTCCCTGCTGCTGAAAAACACCCCCACAGCATGATGCTGACACTACCAGGCTTCACTATTGGGATGAAATTGAGCAGGAGATGAGTTGTGCCTAATTTCCTCCAGACATAACGTTTAGAAATCAGCCTGAACAGTTCAAAATATTGGTTTCATCACATTAGAAAATCTTGTTTCTCACAGTCTGAGAGTCCTTCAGATGCTTTTTTGCAAACTCCAAGCAAGCTTTTATATGTTTTGCACTGAGGAAAGGCTTCCGTCTAGTCTCTCATATCGGTGGAGGGCTGCAGTAATGGTAGTCCTAGAACTCTGTCCAATCTCCACACAGGATCTTTGGAGCACAGTCAAGAGTGACCATTGAGTTCTTGGTCACCTCTTTTACTAAGTCCTTTCTCTCCCAATTGCCAGTTTGACTGGACGACTCGCTCTTGGAACAATCTTGGTTGTGCCAAACTTCTATTTGAGAATTATGGAGGCCACTGTGCTCTTAGGAACCTTCAGTGCAGCAGAAATCTTATTATAGCCTTCCCCAGATCTGTGCCTTGCAATAATCCTCTCTTTGAGCTCTGCAGGCAGCTCCTTTGATTTCAGGCTTTTGCTCTGCTACTTTTGTCAACTGTGAGGCCTTCTACAGAGAGCTGTGTGCCTTTCCAAATCATGTCCAATCAATTTAATTTACCACAGGTGTAGAAATGTCAGCTATGATCAAGAAAAATGGATTGCAGCTGAGCTAAATTTCAAGTGGTGTTGAAAGGTTCTGAATACTTATGCCAATGTGATATTTCAGTTTTTTCTTTTTAATAATTTTACAGGCATTTCTAACATTCTGTTTTCATTTTGTCATTAAGGGGTACTGAGTGTAGAAAAAAATGAATTTCAACAACTGTTGAATCAGGCTGTAGCACAACAAAATTGACAAAAGTAAAGAGTCTGAATTCTGAATGCACTGAGCGAGGAAGAAAAGCTATTTTGACCTATTCCCAGTTTATCTTATGCAGCATTGGAATTGAGAGACTGTGGTTATTTTTTCAAATTAAAACCACTATGGCATCAAGTTTTGTATCTTCTAAATCTGAACTAATTCTATGCTCTACAGACAACAACTCCTAAGTTCTTTGTACATGATAACATTTGAAAAAGCAAAAGCCTATTCCTTGTTTGTTTTTTTAAATATCAGCAAGGGATATTGAAATGAATATTTTTCTTCTTAAAAATGTCATATAATAAAATAAGAGGTTCAGTATGTTATAATGGTGCTGTAACTTGTAAGATGCTCTTTTGGTTTGTTGGATACAGCTTTTCCTATCTTTTACTGTACTGTAAACTGATAGGTTGGAAGGACCTTGAAGGATCTTCTGTTTAGCCCCCTTCCTAGAGCAGGAATCAACAGATAATGCCTAGATAAATGGTTGTCCGATTTTTGTTTGAAAACCTGCAGAAATGGAAGACCCTTCAGGAAGCAGGATTTCCATTAACAGCTTTTATTGTCAGAAAATTTCTTCTTATTTCAAATTTAGTGCTTTCTCTATAAAACTTCTACCCATTGACTCTGGTCATGTTCTCAGGCAATACAGAAAATACATCTATACTTTCTTCTATTTGACAGTCTGTTTACAAGTATCGGAAGACTTTTATGTCTCCCCCTAGCTTTCTTCTCTTTAGGCCAAATATCTTTAGGCCCTAGTGCTTTTGAACATTTTATCAGTTTTACAGGGTGCCTAACCAAGCAAAATAATTCTTTGACTCTTTTCCCCTTCATATTCATCCAAATTCTTTCAGTAGGGTTTTCAACCAGAGTGTCACAAACATCCATATTGGTGCAATCATTCTTCATGTGTGATAATCCATTTCTCTTGCCAAGTTTCTTTCGAACAAATTGTATCCTTCCATTACTATAGCCCAATCACAAATTCCATCCCTTGATTTCCATGACTTATAATACAGTGAATTTTCTTTGCTCTGTGATTGTCAAATACACATGCTCTGAAATTGCCTCCCAATCTCATCATTTAAATAATCTGTATGATTTTATTTTTTTATATTATTCCATTTTTCATAGCTGCTCTGGGTAAGTAGAAAGGCAATAAGTCATTAAATAACCAACTAAATAATAGATGTATGATATAGAAGGGTCTAGTTACTGCACAACAAAATCCCTTTTCTGTGTAGGGAGTCATTCAGATTTGAAGACTGTTTTAGCCTTTAGTCCCCTAATCATCCTGGTTGCTCTTCTCTGTACTTTTTCTAGAGTCTCAACATATTTTTATAGTGTGGTGACCATACTTGGGTGCAGTATGATGATGGCAAAACTTAATTTGCTTAACATAGTGAGACAAGTGTTTCGTTTGATTTTTTTTATGGCTGTTCATCTCACCAAATGACTCTCAATGGCTCACAATTATTAATCCATCTGTTTAGTCTTCTGTAAGAGTCTGGCCTCTATATGTTATATAGTGAAATGTAAATGTATAGGTAGGGACAGCATCTGCTTACAGGATCACTCTTGGGAATTGCTTTGAATTGAACATCAGCAATGATGGGGCACACTAAATAGGTTTTTATGTTCAATTCTGTCCATGGGGTTATGTGAAAATCAGCTGATTTGGGGATAATTTAATATTTGAAAATTCACTGAGCAGACTTGCTACAACGAAGTGTTAAAAACTGAACTATTTCACTTTTAAGCCTGTGTTTCATTAGAATATTCCCAATTATTTCAAATATGCAAAATTGACTCTATATGCATACATCAGTAATGATTCTGGCAACAATACAGTGATGGTTGCTATTGCTCTTTTCCAGATCTTGCCTACAGACCTGTTGTATCTTGATAGTTCCTTCCGGCAGAAGTATTCAAGTGAGCAGAGACTGTCCTCTTTGTTGAGATTTTATCTTTAGCTTCAAGAGGACCAAAAACTTTTAATGATTTCCTGAATCATTTCCTGAAAGGCTTTTTCATACTGTTGATTATACTGCAATTTAAAGAATACATTGATGATCACATAGAGTGATCATGAGTAACGAAGTAATGGCTTTTGCCTTTAGCACATTCTGCAGTGCTGACTGCTTCCATTAGATAAGAGATGCTTATATAAAAATTCATATATTTGGGGAAACAAATCACTTAGCTGATAGAAGTTTCTGTGGGTTTTTTAATTCTTTTTTTAATTTTTTTTAAAAATTCAATTCAGTTCTGTGTGATTGTTTTCTCTTGAAATATCTGAGATCTAAGGGTTACAAAAGACCTGCTTGGAGAACATGGAGAACCACTAAAGTAAATGATCTGACATGTTGTAATAGGAAGGGTTATGTGACATCTTCATTTTGTTTTTAAATAGACATGTCAGAACTATGTGTTAAATCGCATTTAAAACAATATTTTAAAAGCCCTCTTTTTTCTTTTTATTGTGTCACAGTGAAATGAAGTAAATTTTATCAGAACTTTGCAATGAAACATACCTTTTCATGTGTTTTTGTTTTAAGGAAAGTGTGCTTTTAGCTGTTGAGCATACAGAACACTTACAACTGTAGGAAGGATGTGGATTTTTAGGAAGAAAAAGGACAAGTGCTTTCATTGACTCTATTAGCTTTTCAGTAGTATATTTTATGCCATTTTTCCAAATGTTGAATTGGAAAATGAGCAAATATTCCTCTAATTCTAGATGATTACCAGAGAACATGGCAATAGAAAAAAATAGTGAAGCCAGCCATTCCTGAATTAAATATACATATAGATGACAGACACACCAATCCTGAACTACAAGTGCAGGGATTAGATGATAATTGAATAAAATTTATCTGTTAAAAGAAAAAATGTTTTAATATGCATAATTAAAGATTCATGGGAAGCAAAAAGCGAGACCTAGTGTGGTGTTATGTTCTAGGTGTTGGAGTAGAGACACCCAGAAAAGCTCATTCTGGGAGACTTTGAGCCAATTTCTCTTTCTTAGTCCAGGCTATCTCACAATCTACGTTATCATGGCAGAAATTGGAGGAAAGGATGCTTTCCTTGAGTTCCTGGAAGAAAGGCAGAACACAGCTAGATGCACAGGCAACTACTTCTGTGTGAAGTGTATACTTGTTGGG